ATTTGTACATATATCTATTCATTTTTTTTTATCAGAGTGATATTTCTATTGTAATGTTATTGGTTAATTTATTCTAGTTATCATATCAAATTTAGCTGGTGATTCAGATACATCGATTTTCCATGCTAATTTAACTGTTTATTCCAATTTTAATAGTTAATCTTCAAAATTGCTTCAATATATTTGTATTAAATAAGAACTTTCATCAAGCAAATCTTTTATTGTAAATTGACATATACATTAACATTGATCTAATAGGTGATGATGAAAGCAAAATACATTAGTTGAAGAATCACTCACAAATGATAATTGTCTTCAAAAAGTAATTGATTATTATTTCTTGTGTTAGTAATATTCTTGATTTAATTATTTATCTGTGTAAAAGTTTCTAGAATATTGAAATTTCATGGAAGATTTTGGAATATATTTCGACAGTTTAAACTTTGTTGTGAATGCCATTAAAAGTCTTTTCTGTTACTATGGAAAAGTAATCAAGTCATTCTTCCCCATCTTGTTATGACAGGATTGGAAAACTGGGAAGACTATATTTTTCTTCGAAATACACAATGTGAATCTTACAAAAGTATACAGTCATCTATTTTAAGAAGAAATCAAATTCTTTTGATAAACACTGAAAAAAATCTAATTAAATTTTTACACAGATCATTCCATGAGAAGAATTAAAAACGATCAATCGATTAAATTAATAGTTTTAACTTATAATCGAATTTTATATATTCGGATCATTTTTGCTAAAGTGAATAATTGTATAGATTTCATATCTAATAGTTTTTATATTTATCATTTATTCATTATCAACATGTGTCATAATAATGAGAAGGAATATATTATTGAGAAAAAAAAACGTTTTTTTTTCCTCATAGATATTGAGTCGAATCTTCAAGTCAACGTTGTTGTTAATTAGTAGATAATGATGAATTAAGACTTATTAGTTTGTATGAAGGATGACATATTAATGAAATTAGAACAGTATTTTGCAAAAACGATCATTCTTCTATTGGAAGAAATACTTTTGGATTTTGTATATTTGCATGGGTGAAATCAATTTTAATTAAATATCCTGATGAGTAGAAGATAATGTTGATATTGATGATGATGCTAAATGAGATTCTTGAAAATGAAGATCATATAGTTTTTGTATTGGTGTTAGATAAAGAGAGATCAAACATTTTGCAAACAGTAACATTATATGTTGAAAAATTGTTTTAGTTGTCTCCGATGTACATATCTCGTATAGATAGACATTCTTATCCTATCTTATCTACAGACTGCAGAGGAGTAAAACTTGTTTTAGTAGTGTGGACTTGTAGAGTATCTTTTTCCGTAGGAAACTCTTAAATATGAAATCAAAACAAATTATATACCTTGTTTATACTAAGAATATCAGAAGTAAAACAGTTACTGTAATTCTATGTCGAGGTTGCAGTAAGTTTTTTTTACTCTTGCTATTGATAACGTAACAAATGTCTAGAACTAAAGATATAATAAATACTTGATTTTTATTTCAAATAGTAGCGACACTAAGTGCAGGCTTTGTTATAGAAAAAAATCGAATGCATACGCACAGGACTACATAAATGTTTTGCTTTACACTCTGTACTTTTGACTACATCGATATTAATTCGAAGAATCTGAAAAACAGCTGATCATA